GAAAGGAGATTCTTGTTTTCCTTAGCCACAAGTCTCAGTCTTAAATAAATTCATTTCTGCAAACCTAAAGCAAAAGAAGTATTCTTCTCCTAGAAGGAAGGCCAAGAGAAGCCAGAAATCCACACAAGTCATTAACCATCAAAGACATCATCAATGCTGGGAGGGTGGCACAGAGGAACACAATCATAAGAATATGCACATAAACTTATATTTTAAGTGTGTAGCGAAATAGGGGGTTTCAACTGGGTTTTTATTATAATTCTTTCAAGGGACCTCCTGTCAGGCATATTCCTTCAGGAGTTCACAGCTGGTGACTCCATGACTCAGTACTTTGCAGCTCCTAACCACCATACAACTGCACTGTGCTTCAGGTTTATTCAGTTGAACCTAATGAAACTTAAGTTTCTGCTAAGGAAAATAAAGAGAAATTTATTCCACAAGCAGAACTTCACCTTTCTATTTAATTTCCTCTCAACTACATGCTTCAAATCCTCATGGTCATTTCACTTACAGAAACGCCTCTGCCCAAAGAAAGAGGAAAGCAAGATCCCCAGGGGGGTAGAATTCTGTCTCCTGTGATCTTCTGTTTGTGAATTATTAAACCTTGCCTGTCACTTTTGTTGATGCACCTCATTACAACAGGAAGCCAGTGAAATGTAGAGCAGCCATTATTCTCTCCTAGCAACAAAGGCAGTACTTAAGTAGCACGGCTATGCTTAACCCAGACCAGGTAACAAAACTCAAAAGTTCCCTGAAAAGAAGTGCATCATGCTTGACAAGATGAATTGCACTTGTGTAATAGTATTTCAAACTAAAAATAGGGAAAGAAACATGAAATTTTCTAAACGGACACTCTTGAACTGATTGTAGATCTTTATTGCCAGTCCAGTTTTTGGTTTTTTTTTTTTTTTTATTTTAGAAAAACTGAAAGAGAAAGCCATTAAAGAGACAGAAACAGCAAAATGTCATTTCAGTCTCAAACCAGATGACTTGGCAAGACATCCTGCTAGATTTTAGTTCTTGTTCTTTTTTTGCTTCAGATATCACATAAGAATGCAAAGTCAGAAAGGAATGTAGAAGCACCCAGACTCCTATAGCAAGAACAAGGCAGTTAAGAGTTCAAACATCCCACAGAGTGTGTTTTAAAGAGCACTAAGAGTTGGCTTAAATGTTCTTGCAGTAGTCTAAGGCAACATCTCCAGGCATATCAGCAAATCCACTTAGAAGAGAATTCATCCCATGACCCAATTATAACACAGTTTTATTTTGGAGATCACTCAGCTGTGCCTCAGCAACAAAACAAGAATCTGGAGCTATCCCAGTGCAAGCCTGGTTGCAGAAAGTTTTCACACATAAAAAGCCACAATTATGTCAAGTCATCACATTTTTCCCTCCTACAAATGTTACACTGTGATTAAAAAAAAAAAAAAAAAAGCAGAAGAGAAAAGTAATGGCTCTATAAAAAAAATGAGTCACCAGTAACATAAATTCTAGGTGGTAAGAGATGGGAAAAGAGGTAACTAGAAACTAAAGAGATAATTCAAACAAGGTTTAACTTTAGGATACCTCTTTGCAATTGCTGAGTGAATCTCAAACTGTATTTGGAAATTTTAGTCCCACATTCTCTCTTGCCACTGCTGCCTACATCACAACAAGTGAGGTGACTCCTTCTTTCACATTAACAGCAGCAGCATCAGATTGCAAAAGGTTTTCTTTTCAGCTGAATCTGTACTCCAAGGGGTACATATCAACCACACTTATAAAATATTTACAGGTTTATCTCACTTTGAACAGATTTCTTCATTATAATGTTTAGAGCTGAAAAGGGTGAAGAACACAGAATTTTAAGCCAATTCTCAATCATCTAAGGATAAGATCTGCAGAATTGTAAGTCCTGGAATTTGACAAACATTGCTTGTTAATTTTAAGATCACTGGTGGCTAAATAAAAATACCCAAGGACTAATAGAGACGCTGAGATGCTTTTAAAAGGAATTTTAAACTTATCTGTCTTCTCTGGTTTACAAGTATAGCTAAAATAATTAGCAAAGTATTTTGTCTTTTTTCTCCTCAAAATCCTAATTATGATTTTATACATTTATACAAAATACTCAAAGCCCAGCAGGCACACACATTCCTGACAACTTCAACTACACTCAAGTTACTAAAATGTGGAAAGGGCTTCTGGCCAGACAACAGTCCACTTTTGAAGATTTCAACTTCTCTTAATCCGTAGGCTCTTAATATTTTGAAAATTGAGCTTATTGGCAACAGGCTGTTTTTCTTCATTAACTTTGGGAGACACTGAGCAAAAATCCCAGAGTTCCAGAGTTCACAAACAGAAAGCCACTAACTGATGCATGTCTGGACCCCAAGGAAGCATCCAAATGAGGGCAGGACCGCTGTAATTGATGCCCAGTTTTGTAGTCTCCATAGACTCAGTCAAGATTTTTGCCCCTTGAACATTCTGTTCCTCTTAAATGACATCTGCAAGTCCGAAGCTGAAGCATATTTGGAATGCAGCATGTGGGAAGCTGTAAGCCTTGTACACTGTGTGATTAGTGTACAAAAGTGCAAAGTCCATTGGTCTCAGAGATTCTAAAATACATACTTCCATAAGAAACAAATTTCCTTCACAATATTTTAAAAGCTTACATTAGAATTATTTTTACCTGAATGTTTCTACACTAATAATTTCATGGTAAGTCTCCAAATAGACTTTCCCAAATAAGAGAGAAGGTCTAGCACTCACCAAAACCATGAAACAGCAATATCAAGCTTATCATTTTCTAAAGCATTAAGACAGTTGTGCCATGTCTACCTGAAGCCAAATTTTAAAATGAAGTTGAGCAATTTCAGTTGCAGCCAGTTCCAGTCAAAGGAAGTCTAACACAACACAGTATTTGCAAGTGAGAGCCTGTAGATGGCCTAAATCCAAGATCTCTTCTGTCTATCCATCATCGTGTATCCCACAGCACACTTACAAAACAATATGCATTAATTTTTTACTGGTAATATTCGACTCTATCCCTCAGAAATAAAAGACTTCCAATATCTTTATGTGTATTTTTCACATTGCTCAATAGTAAAGGCATTTCACCCCTAGGGGGAAAAATGGTCAAAAAAACCTGCAGCCCACCAGTTCTCAGGTACAGCTTTGTTAAGCTTTACCTGTAGGATCTTCATTGCCATGAAGTGCCAGTTATTATCTATCACATTAACCTTTTCTATAAAATCCACTGTTCGGACAACTGACAATTATTTTACCAAATAAGAGTTCTAGTAACCAGATTTGTGACTTCTGGATAATTTTACTATTTTTGTCTCAGAAAAAGAAGAACCTTCCTAAGAATACAGACATTTGTCTTCCTCCAATTTATTACAATGCTGATGAACACTCCAGAAAAACAAACCCCTCTAAAAACAACAAGCCTTACAGATCTATTTTAAAACTATGTACTTTTCTTTAGGTTCATGTATTCTAGTTTTCTTACCTTAACCATGGGGACCGAGAAAGCTAAAGAAATGTTTGTTTCTTTAATAAACTGGGATGGGAGGGAAGCAGCAATCCCATGAATTGCCATTATTTTTAGCCTGTTTCTGGGGGACACCCATAAAAGCACATGAGACAAGTTTCTCAGCAGAAAGAAATTATGCCAGTAGAACTGTTATCAGAAGAGCAGCATTACTTCCTGTAGTGTCAACTCTGTCAAGCTTAAAGGTTTACTGTGCGGGGAAATTTACACATATCTGGACATAATTTCCTTAAAAATTGTTTTCAGAACTGCGAGTCAAACCGAGGCCTTTCAAGTCTGCATAAAGAAGTAAACTGATGTTCCATAGCATATTTGGTGGATCCAAGCAATTACAGGACCATTTCTAACTCTTACTGTTGTTTTTCATTCTCCTTAAATTACCACATGTAACAATGTATGCAATAAAAAAAGTATGGTTTCTCTTCTACACTGTGCTCATTATCGTTTCCCTACCCAAAAATTAGGTTTCTCCCTTTACTTGCTTTACTTCTTCCTATCCAAATAGAGGCACAAAAATAGATTTTCCTGGGTTTTTTTGTAGTCACACCAATTCTGCCAAAACCTGTTTCCTCTGCCTGCCAGTACACTCAAATTTAATTTCGGATAATTTCGATTTTGAGCTACTTAAGTGCCAGAAGCATAAAGTCTTTCCAAAACCGCTTCTCCATAGTTCACAGCTGTTTTTCCTATTACATCAGTTGAGTTCATTTCAGAGTTCATTCCTCCTTTTGTTCTTGCAAAGGCCCACCGAGAGTGACACTAAATACCCAGAGAGGCTCACGAGGAGGAGCAGAGGGGCTGAATAACACCGCGAAAACGCTTCACAGCGGCACCCAGAAACCAGGAGGGGACCGAGACACCATAAAACCGCTTTAATCTACAAGTATTCGGACGATGCACACCAACACATAAAACACACCCGCCCATAAAGCAGCGGCACGGCTGTCGCCCGCCGGCGGGACGCGGATGTTACCGGGGCAGCGCCGATCCGCGTGGCCGCCGCCGCGCGGCTCCGCCCGCCCGGGCCCCGCTGCGGCCGCTCATCCCGGCGCCGGGCGCTGCTGCCACGCGAGGCAGCCCCCGCCCAGCCCCGCTGGGCCCGGGCACGCCGCCGCCGCCGCCGGCCCCGCTCACCTGTGGGCGGCGGGCCCGCCGGGTCCCCCCGCTGCGTCCATCGCGGCCCCGCCGTTGCTATGGGCCCCCGCCCGCCGCTGCCCTTAGCAACGCCGCGCGGCACTGAGGCGCGCCGCCATTGGCCGGGGCCGCGAGCACGCCGCCCGCCGATTGGCCGCGGCGCCGCGCACGCGCGGCGGGGCGCAACGGCCGCCCCCGTCGCCCGCCGCGGGAGCCGCCCCCGCCGGCAGCGGGGAGCGGGGAGCAGCCCCGGCGGGAGCCGCGGGACACAGAGCCCTTGCCACACACTGCCCCAGGAGAGACCGACCCGCATACCCCCCCACCCCCTCCCCCGTCGCCAAGAGCCGCCCCCGCGGCCCGGCTGAAATCGCGTCCCTCTTCAGCGCCCTAAGGGACACCATCTGTTCGGGCGTGTCCTCGCACGCAGCTCCCGCCGGGTCAGCTGTGGGCCTGTCTCCTCGAGAGCTCGAGGTTTGCCTTCACCAGGATGTCCGCAGCGCTCAGCTTGCCTTGCTCCCGCAGGTAGCTCATGACGTGCGGCCGCCGTCTCCAGGTGACCTTTACTCCGTACTCGTGCTCGGGGGTATCCGTGACCAGTACTGCTGCCGCCTCCCCTCTCCCGCACGGATCAACACCAAATGGCAGCTCTTCTTCTGGATGCCAGGCATGACTACTTGGTGATAGAGTGCTGCTGCATCTCCCGTTCCTTGGGGAAGGAGCCTGTACAGCCTCTGCATCTGAGGGACTAAGGACATCTTGCTCCACAGGCTGGGGAACAAGCTCTCCACAGTTCTCTGGGCTCTTCACCTGGATGTTGGCATTTGCCGCTGTCCCTTTCCTAGGCTGGGTGGGAGAGCATTGTGCATTCTTTATCAAGCAATTTGGATCATCCAAGAGAGGGACTGCATGTCCTTCTGGATTCTCAAAAGTTAAAGGAGGAAATCTGCAGGCTACAGCTCCTCGGCAAGCTCCTCCTGCATGAAATGAACTGTGGTTAGCATCCTGATTATAGGGCTTCTGAGGACCACGATGCTTCTTCTGGCGTGCTTTCAACACCACCGCCTTAGTTGTGTCAAATTGTGGGCATACCTGAAGGGAAAGACATAATAATAAGATAAAAACCCAACCCTTTCCTCCAGACAAATAATACCTACCTGATTCTATTCCCCACCTTTTTTCAGTGTGTTCGTTGAGTAATCTGTTCTGCAGCAAAGCAAATGAGTCACTAACAAAGCTGCTATGCATGAGAAACCTCTGAACTTCAGCATCATGTTCTGCCACTTTTCTCTGGAAAGTCATTAGGGTGGCAAAAGTGAGCTGTTCTCCGGCAGCTCACAAAGAGCTTGAGATCTGGGTTTTAAAGGAAATCTAATGATGTCTACTCCTGTAACCCCTGAGGATTTAAGAAAGTTCAGAATGGATCCTTTTTCTTTCTGACCTAGCATAACTCAAATAGCTTCAAAGAACGAAATCCTCAGCCTCCCCCAAAGAAGTAGAGGCTGAACTGGGAGAGCAACACAAAATGATTGAAGAATGCCCGCTTAGCTCAATCCCCTTAGATTATGTTAATAGGGTGTTCAAAATCTTCCCCCCAAACATCTTTGTTTCAAAACATAGTTAATTTCTGTATTGTGGAGTAACAGATCACCCAAAATCCACTTCTACAATCAGCTTCCTATAGAAGAGATGGTCCAAGCTCAACAGTCTGTATTTCTGTGAATGATTCTGGACTCATTCTCAAACCCTGAAAATCCTTTCATTACAGTGTTTGTCTTCCTGGTTACCAACAAAAGAGTCAGACTCTGTTTCAGATTCCAGTTTGCTTTTCCCAAGAGCACACCAATCTGAGTTCTTGCTATGGTAACTACAGATCTCCTTCAGCATTCCTAGGTTACAATATAGTTCCTCAAAACACTGAGTGCAATTTAACTAAGGATGGTGATTGTCTAATGTACAGCTGAACTGTTTGACTCCAAAGCCATTTTGCAGGAAAAGAGAAATGATTCTTTAATAATTGTATACTAGCACATACTTAACATAATCCCTGATTTTAAGGATATGGCTTCCGGCTTCAGAGAACATGTAGGGTAGGTTTTACCTATGCAGGAACCTAGTAGTGAAAAAGGTATGAAAAACTTAGATAATGCCAAAAAGAGAGGAGCAGAAAATCAGTTTCCATTGAAACAAGTTGACAGACATTCCGCAGAGGATGCCTCCAGAAGTTACAAACCTATCACAGTTACCAAACTGAGAAATATTTAACAGTTTCAGTACTGATAGCTTCAAACAAATTTTAGAATATTTTAGGAATCAAAGAGCTACCAGAGTGGATGCTTCCACCTCTTCCAAACAAAATGAATGCTTATTCACAGCAGTTATTTCACTTAGTGATTCACAAACTGTAGAGCTAACTGCCTCAAGCAGATACAAAAAAAATTTAAAGAGGAAAAAATTGAAGATGTTCTACTTCAAGGTTAAGGCATTACAAAAATACCTGCAGGTCAACAGGAACAAAGGAATGTTTCATACAGTTTTGAAACCACTCTTCCTGAGTTTGCTTTGTGAAGAGCAGTCAAGCAGCAATAATGTTTAAACAGAGCTCCCCTAGGTGATGACTACTGTTGTATAGGAACAATCTGTCTTTGCTGCAGCTGTTTGCTTAAAAAAACTAAAGCTTTATATTACATGATATAAAGAGTATTCTAGGACATGGCAAACAGTCCCAAGAAAATGAACCTATCAGAAGATTGGTATGGAGAGACACTACTCAAAAAACATAAATGGAAAAGAGAGCAGGTTAGAACAAATGATTCTGAAGTAAAAACCTATGTTCTCTAAATTTAGCAGTTTCAGATTTAAACAATACACTCAATACTTTAACATCGAACATTTAGAGTTCAGCAGTTATTTTAAACAGCAAGCCAATAAGAAAGGACTCCCCTAATGATTATTTTGTGCAGGGGTTTTGGTTGCTAAGGAAAACAGTGTTTTCCTGATGCGAATAATTTTTCTAGAAGACAAATATTCATTAATCAGTACACACTGCAGACAGTTTATGTCTTCAAGTAACCAAGACCTTAGTGCTTATTCTTAGAATGTCAAGCAACTCAAGCACTTATTTATGCTTTAGACTGATAGAAGGAATTCAGGTCTGGGCTACTAACTTTCCATATCCAGAACAGATAACTTTCTTCTAAGACAGGAGAAACAGGAGAAACTTGAAAACTGTTGGTGTGGGACGCAGGAGGAAAGATAATTTGTACCAACCCAGGCAGCAGAGGTGTTCAGGTCTACAGGTTTCGTAGGCACACGTCTGGGATTCTCAGCCAAATGCAGTGGAGCTTCATAACAATGGATGGGTCCTGCCCATGGTTTCTCAAGGAAAATCAGCTCTGCCTTCCTGGCCTTGTGGGTACACTTCTTCTTTGGAGGCATCAAAAGGTGTGGTAAAACTACTTAGAAACCTCATGATGCTTGTTGGAGCCAATTGAAGAAAGATGGAAGCACCCTGAGGAGATGCGAAAGTGCTCTCAAATCTGTAGAAGCAAATAAATGGATTTGAAGACAGACTCATTTGGAAACCTCAGATGCAGTTTTTAACAAAAGCAAAACATTTATGCAACAGCACAGTGTATACATCTTGAGGCAGACTTTTTCCCAATAGTGGTTCTTGGGCCTTTTGTTAATTTTCAGGTAGATTTAGAAATGCACTGCAGGAAGGGAAGCTGTTGACCTACTGATACAGCTATGAAAAGAACAAGTCAGCTATGAAAAAACAAAAAAGCCAAAAAATTTATTTTCTTTTTTTCAATTCAGTCTTGTTTGTAATGCCAAGAAGATATTGTAAGGCTAAGATAATCAGAACTCTTTCCCTTTCTGGTTGCTAACTACCTGTGTGTTTTTAATTTCAAGAGATTTTAAGTTTGTTTTTTTCTTTTTTACAAAACAGAGTTGACATCTCCCGTATTCTACAGATCTTGCATGATTTGTTTTGCCTAATGAATAAGTTTGAACTGAAGTAACATTGTATTTAATTTTCTGTTGGAAAACACTTCACAGACTCAATTAGGTTGGAAGACCTCTGAGATCATCAAATTCAACCTATAGCCAAACACCACCATGGCTACTAAACCATAGCCCAAGTGCTACATCTTCAGGGGCAGGGACTCTACTTCCCTAGCCCATTCGCCTGTCTTCACCTTTCCTGTGAAGAACTTCTTCCTAATGCCCAACTTAAACCTCCCCTGGTGCAGCTTCGGATGATGTCCCCTTGTTCCATCACTAGGTGCTTGAGAGGTGCTTGAGAGAACATGTAGGGTAGGTTTTACCTATGCAGGAACCTAGTAGTGAAAAAGGTATGAAAAACTTAGATAATGCCAAAAAGAGAGGAGCAGAAAATCAGTTTCCATTGAAACAAGTTGACAGACATTCTGCAGAGGATGCCTCCAGAAGTTACAAACCCCACCTGGCCACAGCCTCCTTTCAAGCCCTTGTAGAGAGCGCTAAGGTCCCCCCTGAGCCTCCTTTTCTGCAGGCTGAACACCCCCAGCTCCCTCAGCCACTCCTCGTGGGACTTGTGCTCCAGACCAGCTCTGCTGTCCTTCTCGGGTCCCACTCCCGCACCTCAGTGTCCTGCCTGAACCGGGCGCTGCACTCCGAGTGCCCCAGCAGTGCCGAGGAGAGAGGAACGGTCCCTGCCCCGGCCCTGCTGGCCGCGCTGTTGCTGACACAGGCCAGGTGCCACTGGCCCTCTTGGCCACCTGGGCACAACTATGTTCACCTACCTGACTTACCATAGATCAGCACAGACAAGAAAACGTGACAACATTTCTGAGAAACGCATGAGACTGACACAGCCTGACGGCTTACCTAAGCGGCACCGTGCCCGAGGGTCCTGCGGGCCCCTCTAGCCCGGCGCGGCCGTGACACACACGTTAAACGGCAAAACCCCGCAGCTCTTCACCAGGCGCCAGCGCGCCGCCGGCGGCGCGGGCGCACGGCGGGGCTCCCGGCCGCGGGCAGCACGGCTGAAGGAAGCTGGCGGCACTGCCGCGGCCGGGCGGGAGCGGCCGTCCCGGTACAAGCGCGGCACACCGCGGTGCCGGCGCGGTCCCGGTCCCGCCGCACATCCGCGCCCGCCGCCGCCGCCGCCCATTGGCCCGGGCCGGGCCCGCCCCCGCCGCCGCTCACTGGCGCAGGCCGGCACGTGACCGGGCCAGCGCCGGGCGCCAAATTCAAACCGGGCCGCTCCGAGAGCGCCGGGGCCGCCGCCCGCCCCGGCCGCGCCCCGGCCGCAGCTGGTGAGTCGCCGCCGGCGCCCCGGCTGGGGTCGGCGCCCCTCGGACGGCCGCGGTAAGGCCGCCGCGCGGCCGGGACAGGGCAGCGCCCGGGCCCGGCCCGGGGCGGAAGGCCCGGGGAGCAGCGAACCCGCCGGCCAGGGCGGCAGCGCGGGGCTGGGGTGGGTGACAGAGGAGCTGGGAGCGCCCTGGCCGTGCCCTGCCTGCCCCCGCGGGGCCGCGCCTGCACAGCCCTGCTCCCGGGCCTGGACGGGGCAGCAGATCCAGGCCTTGGGAAGGGACGCGCTCCCGTTCCTGCTCGCAGGAACGCTGCCTGTCGGAGGCTGGCTCAGGGTTCTGCTTCTGGCGCTGTCTCTCCTTAAGGGGGAGGAGCAGATCTCCAAGAGCCATGCTTGTGCCGGGTGCCAGAACCCGCGTGGAATGATCGCTGGGCTGTCTGCTCACTGTGCATAGGGCGTTAGCTCAGCTTGTTATCCGCTGGACTCTGCTTTCTATCAATGTAGGGGATTCTTACTGAGAATTTTCTCGTTTACTAGCTGACCCCGTCAAATCTAGTAATGCAAAAGGCCTCTCTTTTTTGGTATCTGTTTCTATTCTGCTTGCCATCTCTAATGACAAACAATAACTACAATTTGCATATTGTTCTGCTTTAGTTTTCAGAAAGGCACAGGTTCCACCAAATTCCTGATGGCATTATTAGCAATATTCTCATAGCATCTTACCCTGGAAGCAGTATCTCTGAATTTCATTTCCTCTGCTTCCAGCTTTATAGTCTAAACTACCTATTGTCCAAAAGTTTGACATCTAAATTGTATGCTACCCAATGATGAATTTATGTGATTCTTAACAAATACAAAAGGAATTAGAAGCACATTTACTTGGTGTCTAGCTTAAAGCACCTTACTTCTGCTGCATTTATTATGTGCTTTTGTAGTGTTCAGGGTAATCTCTGCTTCCCAGATCTTAAACCATCTGTAAATTCCCTTTTCACACAGGTTATATAATCTGCTGCTTAGAGCAATCAGCTATAAGAATCAGCACTGCTGTTTCTATATTCCGCCTCCCCTGCAGCTTGCTGGCTGACATGGTCAAATTGCCCTACAGCTAAGTCTTTTTGTAAAGCACATACACACTTTGCTCATTATTATGTACTTTATGATGCACATTATCTACTCTGCAACTCTCTCATCCTGCTTACACAAAGTGTGGATTAGGGAGGTACAGTATGATTTTTCAGTAGCCTTGTCTGCCTTATTAAATGCTTCTAATTTTAATTTTCCTTTTGCATTTCTAGCTTTGTAGCAACTGCAACTGCTGAGAATGTGTGCTCTGTGGGAGGTCTTGAGATGATTTGCTGCACCCTTTATGTTGTACCTTTTGTTTTGCAGGATTTGTTTCTCTCCCTTTCAATGGAGAGTGACAGTATAGATCAATAATGAGGACCAGCCCTCGCAGGCCCTTAATTCTCAAAAGACGAAAACTGACCCTCCCACAGAATGGTGAATCCAGTACTTCAGCAAGAGATGAGAAGAGAGGTCAGGATGAAAAGGCTCCTAAGCAGGAGCACAGGCAGGAAGACCAACACAACAGACAACCCAGAGACAAAAGGGACGGTGGCCTGCAGAAATTCCCAGCAGGAATAAAGATAATTGACCATCCTACAATGCCCAACACACAGGTGGTGGCCATCCCTACAAATGCTGATATCCAGAGCATTATAGAGGCATTGACAGCAAAAGGAAAAGAATGTGGCAACAATGGACCAAATAAGTTCATTCTCATTAGCAGTGGGGGCACATCCCGTTCAGCAGGTCCAGCACCATCGCAGCATCTCCCATCAGAGAAGAAAGCCAGTGCAGGCAACAGGGCTGCAGTTATTCAAGAAAGAGAGAAGAATGTTGCACAGACATCTGGTCTTGCAGGTAGTACAGAGCTCTGGCATTCAGGAGTTGGTCCTGTGGTTGGACAGGGACAGTATGTAGCCTTTACCTGTTTGTTTTTTTTTTGTCCTGACAGACAAAGAGATGTGAAATGGGCCAAGGAGTGCAGCACTTGCATCTTGGTTTGCAGTAATTATTAATATTTTGTTAATTACAAAATACCTATGGATTGGATTCTAATAATGTACATAGCTTTGCATATGTAGTGAAATCTGAAGGATTATAGTGGACATATTTTTTGGTGGAAGACATCTGTGCTTCTGATTTAAGTTTTGTGCTAAATCTTTCTATTTCTTGAAGTACTTGATCAACATAGTCCTGTTTTGGTTGACAATAGCCTGGTTTGAGTGTTTATTTTTAGAGCCTGCAGCTCTTTTCAGAAATTGGGCAACTACAGGAATCAAAATCAGGAATTCAAGATGAATTCCTTCCACAATACTAGTGTTGCAATACCATCTTTTAGAAGTGTGACTGGTGCCTTCCTTTTGACAGCTGTGATGAAGGAGTAGCAGGGTTACTTGTGAGAAAGCAGAGTTATGGCAAGGGGAAGGCTGTGTATGTAGCCCACCTGGGCTTCAGTAAAGCCTTTCACACTGTCTCCTACAGCATTTTTCTGGAAAAGCTGGCAGCCATGGCTTGGTCAGGTTCACTCTTGACTGGATTAAAACTGGCTGGATGGCTGGGCCCAGAGAGTGGTGCTGAACAGTGCTGCATCCAGCTGGTGACCAGTCACTGGTAGGGTTCCCCAGGGCTCAGAGTTGGGCCAGTCCTGCTTTTCTCTGTGTATCAGTGATCTGGATGAGGGGATCAAGAGCATCCTCAGCAAACTCACAGATGACATCAAGTTGGGTGGGAGTGTGGATCTGCTGGAGGGCAGGAGGGCTCTGGACTGGCTGGATCCATGGGTCAAGGCCAATTGCATGATGTTCAGTAAAAGCAGGTACCAGGCCCTGCAGTTGCGTTGCAAAAGCACCAGGCAGTGCTAGAAGCTGGGGGAAGAGTGTCTGGAAAACTGCCTGGCAGGAAAAGAGCCAGGACTACTGGTCAACAGCAGCCAGGAGCCAGTGTGTGCCCAGATGGCCAAGAAGACCAATGACATCCTAGCCTGTACCAGCAATACTGTGTTCAGCAGGACCAGGGCAGAGATTGTCCAGTACTCAGCACTGGTGAGGCCGCATCTTGAGTTCTTTTTTCAGTTTAGGGCCACTCATGACGGGAAAGACATTGAAGTTCTGGAGCATGTCCAGAGAAGGACAACAGAGATGGTGAAGGGTCTGGAGCACAGGTCTGATGAGGAAGAGCTGAGGGAGCTGAGGCTGTTCAGCCTGGAGGCTCAGGGGGACCTTGTCACTCTCTACAACTGCCTGAAAGGGGGTTGTAGAGCAGTGGGGGTTGCCTTCTTCTAGGCAACAAATGACAGGACAAAAGAGCATAGCCTCAAGCTGTGCCAAGGAAAGTTCAGATAGGACATAATGAAGAACCTCTTCCCTAAAAGGGTTGTCAAGCATTGGAACAGACTGTCCAGGGAGGTTTGGAGTCACCATCCCTAGAGGTATCCAAGAAACAACTGGATGCTGCAGTCAGTGCCATGGTCTCATTGATAAGAGGGTGTTTGGTCACAGGTTGGACTCAATGGTCTTGGAGGACTCTTTTAGCCTAATTTATTCTGTGATTATTATGTGGGCTTATTATCCCAACAGGCAGTGGAGAGACAATGAGTTCTGTGTTGGACAACAGTCTCACCAACATCCAGTGGCTGGGGAAGATGAGATCTGATGGGCTAAATCCCTCTTCTGTGAAGGAAGACACAGAGAAAGAGAATCAGATACCTCTGCAGGAAAGAGTCAAGGCAAGTAGGAGAATACAAGAGTGTGCTAAAACTTTTGATAAGGAGGTAATCTAGGTGGATCAGAATACTTGCAAGAATTAGGTATTGCTATCTCTAAGTAACCTGATTTTAACCTTTACTGATATGAATAGCAGAACCCAGAGGATCCAGGGATGTTCCATGGGCCTTCTTGTCAGCTTCGCGAACATTCATTCAGACTGAATCTTCTTTCTTTCAGACTGAAGAGGAAGCTGCTGCTGCTGCTATTCCTACTGCTGCTGAGTCCTCCTCATGTCAGGATTCGGTGTCAGAGCGACCTCCTTACTCCTACATGGCCATGATCCAATTTGCCATCAACAGCACGGAGAGGAAGCGCATGACCCTGAAGGACATCTATACCTGGATTGAGGATCATTTCCCTTATTTTAAACATGTAGCTAAGCCAGGTTGGAAGGTAACCAGCAGCCCTCAAGTTGCTGTGGGTGATGTTACATGCCTTCTGGATCAAAATGAAAAGTTATTCCCCAGCCTGCAAATCAAGATGGAAGCTCATTTAAACGTTCCACCCCAAATACACTCTCACTCCAGATGTTCACTGTACCACTTCTTGTATCCCTTGCCTCATCCTACTTAAACAAGATGATGGGATGTTTGAGCACTGGAGTGAGAACTGGGATCTCAAGAGTACATAGAATAAGAGACTGATGACAGGGTTGGCTGGGTACGATGTGAACATGAAAGTTTGGTGTTGTTTGCACTTTGGAATGTAATCCCTCTGCTAGGACAGCTATGTTTGAGGTGGGCCTTGCTGTGCTGATAACAAAACTGCTGGTTTTCAACCTCCCATTCACTCCTTTCTCCTCAGAACTCCATCCGGCACAACCTGTCCCTTCATGATATGTTTGTCCGTGAGACATCTGCCAATGGTAAAATCTCCTTCTGGACTATTCACCCTGATGCAAACCGTTGCCTAACATTGGACCAGGTATTTAAGGTGAGTTGCCTCATGCAAAGAAAATAGGACAGGCTATCCAGTTTCTAAATGCCACACTAGCCTGATGCACCTTATTTTAACTGTAAGATCAAACTGCGTTGATTCAGCCTCTTTGTAGAAGCTGGATTCAGTCATTTCACTTGACAAATAGACAAGCGCTGCATTTGAAAGAAAAGATGCTATGGCTGTGCTTTTGATCTGGAGCTTCTGTAAGATGTGTTTATTCTTCATGTGCTCTGCCAAATATAATAGGTTGTTCACCTTCTTTCCATGGGCCTGATATAAATTCCTAATAAGAAGATTTACACTGAGGCCAACCAGGTGTTCCTATGCTGTTTGATAAGTCAGTCATAGGATGGAATTGTGCTAGCCCAAACAGGTATTTTAGGAAGATTTTGTTCGGGAAATAGAGCTTGAGAGTCTGGTATAGGTGTGTTTAGAAAACTGTTGTGGTTTCTGTTGTGGGTGGGTGGACTTCTTTGTTTGCTCCAATTGTACAAGTTTTAAATGTCCCATTTGTCTCCCTCTTTGGCTGATGACTTAATCTTAAATTTTTTTCTTGCTCAATGCCTTCTGCCACCGGCAGCCGCTGGACTTGGGGTCACCAACATCGCCTGAGTACTCTGAATCAGTAAGAATTACCATCTGGCTCGGGGCATTCTCTTCTTCCAATGGCATCTTCCATTCTCTTCTTGCCACTCACTGAAGGAAAGGACAACAGGCTTGGGGAGGGGGATTGGTTCACTGCTGCATCTACTCATACAGCTCTGTGCTGTACCCTTTGTGGGGAGAGGGGTCTAGCCAAAGGTTGACAGTCTATCAAAATGGTAAATCTGGACAGCTTAGAGCAACTTGGAAGTCTACTGCTGAAGTAGGCTGCAATGGACACCGATAGGCTTCAGAGAACAAGCCCAAACAGATTTCTGGTAAAATCATCTCCATGGCAACAGTTCCAATGTATTCTGGAGCTCAGATCCAGAGAGAATAGGATCTCTCTGTGGGTTTTCATTTTGTAACCCGCTGAACTGTGTGTGACTCTTAGAAGGATGAACCTGTTTGCTATTGCTGTTGCATTCAGCAGTTTTAACAGTGACTGATTTGCAAACATCCAGTCAAACACTTTTCTGTCACAGCTACAACCTTGGCCTTCTTTCCATCTGCTCCAAAATCTGATCCCATTGCTGCCTCTGCTATTCCATTGAACACCTATCTGTATCCAATAGACAATAAAGCCATCCTATTCATTGTTTCTCAGGCACACAGTGTGCCAAAACCAGCTCACTTCTGCAGTAGAGTCTGCAGCTGGAGCAGCTCTGTCATGTCATCTCTTTTCCTACACAGCTTTTGGTGGGCAGCTGGCTTTGGGATGGCTGCAAACCAGCAAGTGGCACAGACCTAGAGCCAGCCTGAATGTTGGGTGCTAACAGCTGCTCTCTTTGCATTAGTCCAGCACAGACCTCTGGTTTCACAATTCTCAGTGAGGCAGCAGAATAAATGCGGATTCTTTTCTTTTAATCTCTCTTTTTCTCCTTCTCCTCTTATCTCACAATGACTGCAGCAACAAAAGAGTAATCTTCCAGATCCTCTGAAGAACATGGGAAGCAAAACTGAACCCCAGAATTCACGTAAGTGTCCACATCACTCTAGGCCAAAGCAAATCAATCCAATAAACCTGGGGCATTCTCATAGATTTCTTTAGGAGTGGAGTGTGTTATCCCTGTTTGCCAGCTTTTATGCTTCTTACTGCCAGGTTTGAAATGGAAAGCAGTAGTGTTTTGTCTGAGACAATGTGATGGTGAGATCCTGGGCAATGGGCACTCAAATGGAATGAGAGCCCAAACCTGAGGGGTAGGATCTGCATGAAATCTTATTTTCTCGTTCATGAGGCTTCTGGCTTGGTATTTGTATCCTTAAAGTTAGCAGAGAAGGCAAGTAATCTGATAAAATGTTTCTTTTGGGGTGTCTAGAAGGACTTTCTCTAAGCTGCCTGGGTTTCAAGAGGTAGCAGTGGAGAACAGGCAAAAGTGAGTCCCTTCTTTTCCCTTCCAGGCCGAAAGATGAAGCCTTTGCTTCCTCGTGTCAACTCCTACCTGGTTCCAATCCAGTTCCCTTTGAGTCAGCCTCTTGTCTTGCAGCCTTCTATGAAGGTTCCCCTGTCCACGGCACAGGGAGCATCTTTTAACAGCACAGAGACTTTGCAGAGCAATAAGCGTGTGTGCATTGCCCCAAAGGTTGGTTTCTTTTTTTCCAAGGAGTTTTGAGGAGGTTAGTGTGGGTTTTTTCCTGTTTTTTTCTTCTTTATTTTTTATCTTTTTTTATAAGTGAGGTGAGGAGGGGGCTAGGTAGGGTGTGGGGATTTTTTTAAGGAGGGGAGTGTTCGCTTGGATTTTTTGTTGTTTGGTTTTTTTTATATCTCTTGCCCTCAATGAACCTTTTCTTCATATTGTTCCTTTATCTTTACTTAGGTGCTCTAAACTCTAAGCTCCTATAAAGGAACTAGTTAGTGATAATCCTTGCTATCCTTTACTGTCTCTAGGCTAACTACTACCTCCTAGTTTATTTGCTCTAAGGATGTTTCCATAATTCACTAGAGGAAGGGGCCTTATGGCTTGGTCAAGACAATTTTTCTTTACTGCTGGGATGTGAAGAAAGAAGAATGGGAGGAATGGCTTTGTTCTATCCTAAAACATCCATATTTTTGGTAGCTCTGTAGACAAACAACAATTAGGAACTTCTAAAAGGGTGTATATTTCATGTAGTCTCTTCCCAGAGTATTTCCATATCTGATGTTTGCTAATACTGTGAGGTTCACAGTTATTCTGGGCTCAAGAAAAACAGCTATTAAACAGATCTTTTTCTTGGCATCTCACTGACTGCTCTTGTATGTGTAGACATTGTAAAGCTTTAGCTTCCTCCATCCTGTCTATAACCATAATCCTATTTTCCTTTGTATGCCTGCTGCTTTATGTTCTCTCCAGCTATGATTTATCTTTCTCCTGTGGTCTTTTTCTCTTGATAACCTCATTTTTTGTCTCTTCTTTTTCCTTGGTTTCTGGGAAAACTGCCCTCATTCATTTTGTTATTCCCATTTAGATAATATAAGAAAAAAAATCAAAGGAGTTATATTTTTTCCAGAAATATTCAGCTCTCCTTCTGCCTGTACTCCCAGAAGTTCTTCAGAGCAGGAGTGCTCTGAAGGGTATGACTTTGTCACTTAGCTAGAATCCTTCCCATGAGACCCTTAGGCTTCTTTCTAACAGTTTAACAGAGATCAATCTCAGTCTGTTATAATTACTCCTTCCTGAATATCTTCCTCTTACCCTTTCTGCTGACCTTAAATGTCAGGCTTTTTTCTTTTCTTTCCATGGTTATTTGGATTTTTGGGTAGCTTAGATCCTTGCTTACTGACTGCATGTCACCTGTGTTTCACTGTAGATATCACTGTCTGCAGAAGAGTCATCCTCTTTACCCACGGCTGTTGTCAAGGAGGAGGGTCAATGTGATGAAGGTTTATTTTCCCCAAGCCATTCCGTACAGGAGAACAGCTCCCAGCCTGGGGAGGAATTGTCTTCTTTCCCTGAGGGTGCCTGTGTCAAGGAGGAAGAAGGCTCTCAGCTGGATCCCTGGCTGTCCCCATTTGCCTCAACCGTAACGGTCAAGGAAGAGCCAAGCTTGTTCCTCCCGGACTCATCCACAAAGGAGAGGAAACAGTTCACCAGACTGAAGTCCCCACCTAAGGCAGTTTCTGACTCTTTAGTTATAAAGAGGAGAGAAAGGAGGGAGGTGGGCAGATCCAGAAGGAAACAACATCTAGCACTGTCTCGTTCAGAAGAGCCTGTCCTTGTTTTGCCAGAAAGCAGCAGCTTTGACTCTTTCCAGTTAGGGGCAGACCGTCCCTTCCCCCAGGAAAACCAGCCCCTTGAGAACATATCACAGCTCAGCTGCTCACGGGGAGAAGAGGGGGCCTTTAAAACACCAGTCAAAGACATGTTCAGCAAATTGCCTGTTTCTTCCACTCCCAGCAAAGTCTCAGCCACTACTACCCCTTCACTTGAGGTCCTTGATCCCTGGAAGTCTGCTTCCTTAGCCAAGGGAAGTCATGAGCTGGACTTCAGTCCAGTGAAAACCCTTCCATTGCCATTCACACCCCTCCAGGACAACCAGGATTTGCTGGGTTTTAACAGCACACCCCTTAAAAATCCTCTCTTTGATTCTCCTCGAGAACTGCTCAATACAGAATCCAGTGACATGGTCCTTGTGCCCCTCACAAGCTCTCCAGTGTTTATTCGTGACACTTCCAAGCAGTCCACTGTTGAACTGGCAGCCTCTGGCTTTACTGAAAACCGGTCACTCATGGAGGGTCTTATCCTGGACACCATGAATGACAGTCTCAGCAAAATCCTTCTAGATATCAGCTTTCCTGGTCTTGAGGATGAAAATTTAGGAACAGACATTAGTTGGTCTCAGCTCATGCCTGAACTGAAGTGAACTGGCCTGAGGACTGAACTTGACATGTTCTGATGTTACAGAAAGAACTCCACTGTTCTGAGACTCATTCATGTAATCTAAAACAAGTGCTTGTGACTAGTTCCCACATTGATGGGAGCAGAGAACATTACTGACTCCTGCTAAGCTAGGAGACAGGCCCATCAGCTGCTGTGGGCTTCCTTTATAAGATGCTGTAGAATTTCAGTGGAACAAGATGATAGACTTTCTCTAGCCTTGTGCTAGAGATAGCCTCTCTCCAGGGGTTCTTATCATGAGAACATCTAGGTAGGCCCTGAATGGCATTTGCTACTCAACATATCAGAGGAAACAGTAGTACAATAGGAAGAGCCTGGGAACCCCTTCCCAGCTCTGTCCTAATATCCCTTTACTTTGTTCCCCTATTGCTTAGTATCTTCTATTTTTGTAAATACTGTACATTCCTTAAATTAGCCCTTAATTATAATAATTTTATTATTGTAGGATTATGGGAATATTTGGCCTGGTAAGGGTTTGACCTAGAGTGTATTTGCATATGTTCACATTCCTTGTATTCTTTTACCCTAGTTGAAAGCCCAAATTTATTTTTTTTTTTACTTCAAAACCACGTTGGCCTAGGTTGTTCTAAAGGTTGCTGGGGCAAAGATCTGAAAAAATGTTTATATATGACCCAAGTCAAACTGAAATAGGTTATCTGGATTGCAGCATTCCAGGCTGGAATGGAGAACAACTTGGATCAAACCATATAGCTCTTCTGATTCCAGAGGCCTATGATGTACCTAGAGGACTAGCTAGAGACACTGTTGCAGCAGATGGACCTCTATTGAATGGTTAAAGCTGCCTTCTTTACAGTCAGCAGTTTAAAATGTAAAAGGGAATGTAAAATGTATTGTATTCCTTTTAAATATAAAGGAAATGCTGATATTTCCACTGAAAATTGACTTCTGGAAACACAAGGCGTGTATTGCTTGGTGCAATAGAACAACTCTTCCTAGTTCTCTAAAACTTAAGTAATGGAAGAAATTGTCATGGCAAAGATCTGATCCTTCTTGCAGACAAGTGGTGACTCCTGTATCCAAATGCTCAATAATGCTTCTGTGGCAACACAGCTGAGTGTTATCTGTACCAGCCGTAACAGCCTGCTGGGATTGGCCCATAGCACGACAACCCCTTGTCCTTATCTCATGTCTGTGTGCTTTGTGATCACTGTGTGACCATTTGGACATTTTCAGGCCTTGTCGGCCAAACCACATTAGATTTAGTTAAGTCACTGCTTCATAAAACACACTTGTTCTTGCTGCTTATGGATAAATCCTGACTATATGAATCAGCATACAAATATCACAACACCACTAGCAGACTAATTTCTGTATCTTCCAAAATGCAAAATAAATATTGCATGAAACTATAGATGTGTGTTGTGGTTTTCAGAACCACAGTGTTCCTGTGTACTTTTTAGAGGTTATGTGCCCTCATAAAAATGTTTCCAAACTTTGGTTTAATGGTTATTATTTCAGTTTTTCTGGGGTTACATGGCTGCAGGAACAGCCTGGTTTCATAAACTTTCTAGTACATCTTACACAGCTGTTAACACTCTGCTTGGCTCTCTCAAGGCATCCTCTCTCCCTTTCCTCTCACTTCTTGCTCCTGAGAGGATGTGTGCACACAACTGACACCTGAAAGCCAGCTAACTAAGATAATGTCTTCAGCAAATACTGAAATTTTCTTGTCTTTGGTGTCAGTTCCTGGCAGGTTCTCCCCTGCTGTCCCTGTCAGCTGAGGTGCTTTGATGGCCACCTCACATTTTATTTTGAACACAGTAGTGTGCCAAAGTTTTATTTCCCTTCTTGTTACATACTCCAGTGAGAGCACTGCTTAAAGGAAATTATATCAAAAAAGGTGGAGGGAACAACAGATAAAATTCCAATGGGCAGTTCTACCTCTTGCTCCCAGAAGAGATGTCCCAGTATTTTGGCCAAACTAGTTCAAAGCACCAGCTGGTGAGGACTTAATCACAAAATATTACTATTTCTCTCCATTTATGTTTGATTCTGCCTGGATGCTTTCCTTAAGGAAAGGCAGTTATCACCTGTCCCTCTGCAGGCTCAGTATTAGGGTTATAGTGTAGAGGTGTGATCTTGTCAGGCAGTGGATGCCTCTATCCACCCTCCTGCAGTAAGAGCGGGGCCATACTTTGTGTCTTCTCATCAGCCCAAGAGCAGGAAGGCACAGCTCTTCACACCCTTTGCACAGCACTCCCAGGGCTTCTCTGAGTAATGTGTAGGAGCATCCCAGGACTGTCCTTGCATTCTGATAATAGACAAAGCTGTTTAACACCTTCTAGCGTGTAAAAGCAAACATTAATTTAAGATAAAAATTTTAAGGGATCTGGGACATGCAAATCTACAGGGAGCCAGCCAGTGCTGCAGATGCTCTGCTCTGACAACTCCACTCAATACCTGGAGTGTGACAGACACAAGGGAGACGGTAATTCCCTTTCATTGGTTGAGTGGGGTTCCTCCCACTATGTTTTGTCAGCTGAAAAAGAGTGCATGCTCACTGAGATGAGGCAAGCAAGGATGATCGCCACCCTTTTACTTTTGCAACTTGGCTGGTAGAGGAAAAACTTGATCACTTCCCTGTATGGAAGAAAAGAGACCCTGCTTTACATGGCAGAAACCTTTTCATGAGGATGTCAGGCCTTCATTTCTCCCAGAAGGCAATCTAGCTCTTAACAAAGGTGAAAATTTCTTTTTTAGTAAAGTACTTGACTTCCTCTTTAAAATGCACAATAGGCTCAGAGAAAAAAAATGACAGGCTTGAAAAATGGTTTGGTGAGCTTCCTGAACAGAAATTGTTTTTCTCCCCACTCCCCTTTTTCCAGAAGAGGTGAGCTACAACTGGATAAAAAGATCTTCAGGACAAAACAGAGTATTAGCTGCCTGAGATTAAGGAGAAAATGTCCTGCTTCACTACTCATCTTAGACTGGCTTCTTGCTTTGAAACAAGCAGAGTTTTAGAACGTCAAGACCCTGAACCTCAACTGCTGATGCAGGTCAAATGACACATTTGTCCTTGCATTTCAGTTACAACATTTATTGGAAAAATAAGTATAATAAATACCCAGTTACAGTTTACAGACAGAAGATTATACAAAGCAGATTCTCTTCCACATCTCAAAATCTGTGGGAAGTCATTATATAGAGCACACTGATGAACTGTTTGCATACAAATATATAATCAGAATTATTTATCCTCCACATCTGCTTTTTTTTTTTTTTTGATGCACCACATTTAAAATGAGAAACATCTAATGATGTTATTTAATAGAGTTAAGGAAAACAGCCAGCACAAATTATTACTGAACTACAGTCAGATATGGATTTATGCTCCAGTACCTGCTGTTGGTCTCTATTACCTTCTCATGGATGTAAAAAATGTTGCTGCCAACAGGGCCTCTCTTTATTTAGCTGTGTTATTTGTAGAAGGTAGGTTGTCTGTACTCATCTGTGGTTACAAACAAGAAATTGGCTCATTAGAACCCTGACTGTTTAATGGATGGAAAAATTTTCCAACAGGCCAAAAACCCTCATCTTCACTGGACTTGAGAAGAATCTCTTAATATTGTTGATATTTTTTATAAAATACTGTTTTTCACTACCAGTATGGTATCTTGGTGCATTGTATTCTTTCACATTTGATGTATTTTTCTGTAAATTTCAATAAAGACAAAGTTTTGGATAATATCATTATGCAACAGGCCAGACCATTCTATCTCAACTTTATACTTTTCTTATGAAGTAATATGCCTAGATTACTTACATGTTTTGGGGTTTTTTTTACTCTGAATCCTGAGATTGCATGTTTGTCTACGCACAAAGCTATTTTGCATTCTGGAACTGTGAAAGGTCAGGAATGCAGCAGAACTGACACCAGAAAGCACATCCCTTGGAACTTGTGGGATCACTGAAGATGCCTTCAGCATCAATATGGTCCCCCAATTATTTGCAAATAATGTCAATGACACAGAATGGTCTGATCTGAGGAGCTCCATGCTGTAGCTAATTAGTTCCTGACAATCTGCACTTTGCTATGCATACCCAAGGGACAGGCATGCTACAGTGATAAGAGCTGTTTTGCTTTTTCCCATGGCTGACTCTCAGGTTTAATTTATTTCCTGTTTTTATTAAAATCTTGAAGTCAGGAGACCATGAGATAATCTCAGATGCCATTTAAATCATGCTAGGCCCTAGCCATCAAGAATGTAACAAACAGCTGATGTACATAACAAATGCAGCCCAAAGACTAGGAGACAAAAGGAGTCCAGTACTTAAAATCAAAAATAAAATTACATTGTCACAGCAGCATTGTTGTCCATCAAATCCCTGGGGTGATAACATATCCCTTTGCCACTGTATGTGCATTGTGTACACAAAGGTGCTTCTGCACTACAAGTGCTACTGTGCTGGTGATTCCATCATAAAATCCTGAAAATTCAGGATATATAGCCTGGTAATAGCCATTCTGAATATCAGCCTTGGGTAGAGTTATTCTGGGGAGAGAAGGAGCAGGGAGCACAAGGAATGTAGTTCAAGCAGCCCAATTGCTTCTAAAAATGGGAGCACAAGAATATTTTGCTCAGATTAAAAAAATATTTTCTAGAAAACCTTTTCTTGAAAAGACCTAGTATCTCCTTGCTTTGTAAGGATTTTTTTCAGGTTGTCCTTCTTGGCTTTGATGTTTCCCTTTTTATAAGCTGAGTGAAAATTTTCCAGTTTTTGTCTGTTACAAACATTCTTTAAAAAAATCTATTTCACATCCTTAGCAGAGTCAGCTGGCAACTAAAATCTGAGACTTATTCAGTACAGTGTGTGCCCCAGCACAGACTTGCTGGAGTGCATGGAGATTTCTTCCTGAACTTGTTCTTTGTGACTTCCAGCAGCTGAGCATGGCAACATGAGCTCTCTTGTGTCCAAGGGATTTCTGCTGGCCATAGGGAGTGG